GGGGGGGGGGAAAACCCCCCTCCTTTTTTTTTTTTTTTTTTTTTAATTAGGGATATTAATTTTTCTGTCCTAAGGCAAACCCGCCAGACCCCAGAGCGCTGGGTCTGCGTCCCAGGCTGCCCAATAAAGCCACACCACGCTGTTCCCTCGCTTGGCGGGCGCGCAGGCATCGCCCCCAAAACTGCAGCCCCCGATCCGCCGCAGGGCACCGAGCAGCCGGTCACAGGCGGGAAACGGCCGTCGCCCTTCATCCTTGGGCCGGGAGCGAGGGAAAAGCAGCCCCGACCGAAAGGTCACAGGCAACTCAGGTTAAGCAAAAACAAAACAAGTGAAAAGGAGAAGGAAACATACTTTGAGATTTCAGACTCACTATTTTCATATTTGACAGTCAAATCAGCAAAGAAGCCACGCAACTGCCTGACGGAATTGTCTGTAAATATGAAGGAGTGCAGGTGCGTGCTAGCTTCCGAACGAGTCCGTTCTCCGCTCACGCACGGTGCCCAGCATCGCTGAACGCTCCGCGCTGAACTCGGCGTCGTTTCTTTTGGCTGCCTTTGCTAAATGCCACCAAGAGTTAATTTAACACAAAAATGACGCTCCTGTCTTGTGGGAACTGCACCTTGCAGCCATTACCGAGACCAAGGCTGTGGGAAGCAATCCCAGTCCAACACCACCTTTCGTCAGCTGTAGGCCGTACCATGTGCTTTTGTAGCCTAATAATAATAGACCTTTCTTTCAACTACGTGAACGACGGCTTGATTCCTGCCAAAATAACAAATAAATAGTATGAAAGCAACGTCATTCTTTTGGGGGAAGCACAAACGATTGTTGGCACAATTCGTTTTACAAACTTGAGTTCCCAATCTGCAATATGCACACGCGTGATTAAAGTCACACTCGTGAGTAGTCTCAGTGGCTTTTAAGGAAGGACTGGCAGTGTTTAAAGATAAACGTGGTGTTTAAAGAGAAAGTGCATGATGTCTGTAGGACTACAGCCTAACCAGTGCTTGCCGTAACGTCATTTGACATTATGCATCAGTATTGGGCAAATTTTAAAATTAGCTCCATTGGATCAGCACATTTAACTTCAATTCGCGTCCTTTCCACTTCTGTGTAATGGACTTCTCGCTCCCCTCTGAAGTGTTTTCATTTATTATTGTGAAAGTGTGAATTTGCAGTATATCACCACCCCAGAAGAGTTTTAACTTATCTTTCAACCGACATATGTGTCTACTACATGGAATTTTATCATTGAAACCATTATTTTAATAAAGGTATATTTTAATGTATTAGTTGTGTAAGTGAATTCTTTATTTTGCCTCTGATGTGGATATAACAGAAGTCCTCTGCGGTGTCCTGCAGCCAGTAACTAAATTAATGTACCTGAAACAGTGTACAGTTGTACATATCTCCATTAGAATACATAAATCTGATGTTTGTATTACCATGACCCAAGCAACTTCAGGGCCTTGGCAAATATTTTGTATAGTTTCTTATCAGTTTTTCTTTTCCTTTATGACTTACTCTGTACATTCAACACCTGACATAAGTGGATTATTTGCAACTGGTTTATTAAACACGTAGCTGCAGGCTCCTCAGAAGAGCCTGGCTGGGGCTTCAGGCAGCAGCTGTGCATGGGGGTAGCGGGGCAGAGGAACAGCCCTGCCCCCCCGGCCCCTGCATGGCGTCTGGTCGCGGGGCAGCCCCCAGCAGGTGGGGGCAGCCCCCTTGGCCTCCTCGCTGCCACCGAGCAAGGCGGGTCAGGAGCCACCCTCCCGGACTCTCCAAGAGTCTTTCAGGGCCAGCTCGGACAGGGCTTTGAGCAGCCTGGCCCCATGGCAGGGGGTTGGGAACCAGATGAGCTTTAAGGTCCCTTCCAGCCCAAACCATTCTATGATTCTAAGACTGGTCTGTGATGACTAGTTTGGGGGCAAGGGATTTAACTATACGTGAGGATATGTGAGTGTGAATACCCACAAATGTACTTACATAGATATACTTGAAGTTCCTCTTACCTGCACCCAGGTGTTTCAGGCAGTAGGGCACCAGCTCCCAAGCAGAGAGGTGCTCTACAGAGCTAGTAAAACACCTCTAGCGACCCAGCACCGTGAGGCAGGGCTGATGGGGTCCAGCCATCCTCCCCTCTCTCGGCCTCCCTTCCTTCCCCTCTCAGTGAGGAGGGGAGCACAGCAGCTGCTGGCCAAGGCTGGCTCTCCCCTAGCCAGCAGCAGTGGCTTCTGCATGGCTTTTGGTGGACCTAGGCTTCCCTGCACCTCCTTAGCCTGGCTGAGTTGCACCAGCTCCCTCCAGGGAGGCTGGGTGCCCATCCTACAAAGAGGTAGGAAGGGGGGAAAGAAGCAATGGCGGCTGGACCAGGGCAATTGTGTATTCTCTCTTCTGCCCTGCTCACATTATATATCGCATCAGCCCTTCTCCTATTCCCATAGTCATCGACGCCTGTCTCACCGCAGTAGTCTCCGCACAGATCTCCACGTTCACTATCACTCCAGTACCCTAACACCCTTAACACTATCCCAACAGTCCCAGGGAAGAACCATTTTCCTCACCCTCCAGTTAAGACCACCCCAGCCAGACCTTTAGCCTTTTTTTTGAGCTTCTGTAAGCTCAGCTTCTTCCACCACCACTGTGTAAGCCAAGGCAGGTGGCAGCTGGGACTGTGCCTAATGCATAGCACAGGTAATATTTGTGCTTGCTTTTAGTATTGAGTCCCATAGTTCATTCACTGTGTGATACAGTTAATAGGTGACACCTTAAATGTTGACATTCTCCTACAGCTTTTTCTTTTAACAGTGAAAATGATTTTACCAGTTTACCAAAAGAAGGAAACCTGGCTACCAAAAGCTTTCCTCTACATTTCCAAAAACTAGAAATAAACATTTTCTTAAACAAATGTAGCTGAAAATTTGAGTAAAAAGCACCGAGAATGCGAGAATCACAAAGAAACATTAGGAATTGCCCCAAACTGGCCATTTGACGTGAAATGAGATGACGGGCTCAGTCCCTTACAGCACTTAGGTCCAAATAGGAGCCAACACCCAGCTGTACTAACAAAGGAGACGGGGACTGGCTGGGCGTGAAGAAGAAGCCAGCCGCCCCTCCCTTGGCCTGGGCCCACGGTGGTGAAGCACGATATGCCCCCGCTGCTGCTGGCTCTGCGCCCTTTCCCGGGAGGGGGCTCAGAGAAGCAAGAAATCTCACCTCAGTTTAAATTTCTTTCTTTAAAGGAGACCGCAGATGTCTGCCAGAGACACGACCAGACTCCCTGTTTTCACTATTCTACTCTAACCATTGCAATATGTAAAATAACCTGCCCTTCGGTATCTCTTCATGTAACGGACCACCCCTAAAAAGAAAATGTCTTTTATTTACACGTAACTGTATTATTCTAAGTACTCATAGTATTCTCATCCTGCTCTTTAAAGATGAGACACCTGAAAAATACGGAAGATATCTTTTTATAAATAAAAAATTATAAAAATAAGGAAGAATCTTTTTATTCCTTGCACTTCTTACTCTCTGGGCCACTTTTTACCCCTAAACACTGCCCCAAAAATAATAATTAAAAAAAAAAAAATTAAAACGAGGAAATGAAAAATTTCCAAGGAAAACCATTCCTTAAGCAAGCAACAGCACCAAGGCTGTTGAGGGAAGAACGGCTAGGCCGCCAGCCCGTGCTCCCAGTGGAGAGGCTTGTCCGTACAACTCCCGTTCCGCCAACAGCCTGCGCGGGGCTGTGATGCGAACAGGAGAGCTCAGGGCGCAGAGACGCCCACGCCGGCATCGAAATACGCCCACGCCCACGCGGACCAGGATATGCACGTTAATGGCTGTCATTACAGCATCCCGAGGCGGATCTCAGCCGGAGAAGAGACGGGTCGGGCTGCGAGCCCAAACCACGTCCCCGCCGCCACCTGAAGAGTTTCGCCGGGCGGGTTTCCCCTGGCGCCTGGCGCTCGGGGCGCCCCCCGGGGGCCGGCGAGC